GTAAAACTCCATCATATAAATGAACCACATTTTCATTATCCATTTGTCAGTTGAGGGACACTTAGGTTACTTCCATCTCTTAGTTATTGTGAAAAGAGCAGCAACAAACATGGATGCACAGGTGTCTCTGCAATAGGATGAGTTCTTTGGGTATATGCCAAGGAGTGGTATAACTAGGTCAAATGGTACGTTCGTTTGTAGCTTTTTTTAAGAGTTCTCCACACTGCTTTCCATAGGGATTGAACAACTTTGCAATCCCACCCACAGTAGATGAGCATTCCCCTTTCCCCACATCCTCTCCAACACTTGGTATCATTTGTTCTCTTGATCTTAGCCAGTCTGACTGGGGTAAGAGGAAATCTTAAAGTGGTTTTAATTTTGCAGTTCCCTAATTACTAATGATGTTGAACACCTTTTAAGATGCTTCTTAGCCATCTTTATTTCTACTTTTGAGAACTCTCTGTTCAGCTCCTTAGCCCATTTTAAATTGGGTTACTTCCTCTCTTGATTCTTTGTTTTTTGAGGTCATTATATATTCTGGATGTTAAACCTCTATCAGATATTTCACTGGTGAAGATTTTCTCCCATTCTGTGGGTTTTCTCTTCACTTCCTTGGTTGCTTCTTTTGCTGTACAGAAAAGCTTTTTAGTTTAATGAGGTCCCATTTGTCCCATTTGTTAATTCTTGACCTTGTTTCCTGAGCAATTGATGTTCAGTTTAGAAAATCCTTTCCTACACCTATATCTTGTAGGTTATTGCCAATATTTTCTTCTAACAGATTCAGAGTTTTAGGCGTCACATTGAGGTTGTTAATCCATTTGGATTTGACTTTTGTGCAAGGTAAAAGATAAGAATTTAGTTTCATTCTTCTACAGGTGGAGATCCAGTTTTGCCAGCACCATTTGCTGAACATGCTGTTTTTCCTCCAGTGAATGTTCTTGGCCCCTTTGTCAAATATCAGGGCTGAAATTGCATGTAGTCATATTTGGGTCTTCAATTTTGTTCCATTGATCTGTGGGTCTATTTTTGTGCCCGTACCATGTTGTTTTTATGACTATAGCTCCGTAATACACTTTAAAGTCTGCTATAGTAATCACTGCACTTAGTGCTCAGGGTTGCTTTGGCTATGCAAGGTCTTCTGTGCTTCCATATGAATCTTAGGATGGTTTTTTCCAATTCTGTGAAGAATGTCCTGGGGATTTTGATTGGCATTGCATTGAATCTATAAATGGCTTTTGGTAGGATGTCATTTCCACAATATTAATTCTTCTGATCCAAGAGCATGGGAGGTCCTTCCATCTTCTGATATCTTCCTCAGTCCTTCCATCTTCTGATATCTTCCTCAATCTCTTTAAAGTTTCAAATTTTTCATTGTAGAGGTCTCTAATGTCTTTTTGTCAGGTTTGTTCCAAGATATTTTACTTTTTTTGCAGCTATTGTGAAATGGAGTGTTTCCATGCTCTCTTTCTCTGATTGCTTGTTATTGGTTTGTAGAAAGGCTACAGACTTTTGTAGATTAATTTTGTAACCTGCCACTTTACTGAAAGTGTTAATAATTTCTAGGAGTTTTCTGGTGGAAGTTTTGGCATCTCTTAGGTATCATATCATCTGCAAAAAGGGATAATTTGATCTCTTCTTTTCCAATTGTTACTCCTTTAACTTCCTTCTCTTGTCTTACTGTTCCTGCAAGAGTTTCAAGCACTATGTTAAAAAGGAGTGGAGATAGTGAACAGCCTTCCCTGGTTCCTGATTTTAATGGGAGCACTTCCAGGTTTTCTCCATTTAGAATAATGTTGGCTGTGGGTTTGTTGTATATGGCTTTAATTATGTTGAGGTATGTTCCCTCCAGTCCAATTCTCTCTAGAACTTTAAACATAAAAGCATGTTGAATTTTGTCAAAGGCCTTCTCTCCATCTATTGAGATGACCATGTGGTTCTTGTCATTGAGCCCATTTATGTGACTTATGACATTTATTGACTTACGTATATTGAACCATCCCTGCATCTCTGGAATAAAGCCAGCTTGATCATGGTGGATGATCCTTTTGATGTGTGTCTGTATGCGGTTTGCAAGTATTTTATTGAGAATTTTTGCATCTATGTTCATTAAGGATATGGGTCTATAGTTTTCTTTTTTGGTTGTATCTTTACCAGGCTTTGGTATGAGAGTGATGCTGGCTTCATAGAAGGAATTTGGAAGTTTTCCCTCCATTTCTATTTTTTTGAATAAATTAAGTAGTATTGGATGTAGATCTTCTTTAAATGTTGGTCCTGGGCTTTTTTTAGTTAGGAGGTTTTGTGTATTACTGTTTTAATTTCCTTATGTGTTATGGGTCTGTTTAAGCTGTTGATCTCTTCTTGGTTTAGGTTTGGTGGTTCCCATACTTGTAGGTACCCATCCATTTCTTTTAACCCAGTTAACCAAAAGAAAGAATGAACTTCCAAATCAACAAAATCAGAGATGAAAGGGGAAACATCACAACAGACACCGAAAATATCCAGACATTACAAGGGAATACTTTAAAACCCTATACGCTACTGAGTGTTTCACTTCCTTCTTCATTTCACCCTGAGCATTCTTCAATATTTCTCTTTTCTGAATTCATTCAGAGGTTTATCCTATCTTCTTTCAGTTCTTTGATTTCTTTCTTTGTGTGTTCTTTAAATTCACTGAATTTTTTTTTTTTTTTTTTTTTTGGTCTTTTTGAGACAGGATCTCCCTGTAGCCCCAGCTGGCCTGGATTTGCTATGGAGACCAGGCTGGCCTCAAACTCACAGAGATCCACCTGCCTCTGCCTCCAGAGTGCTGGGATTAAAGGCATACACCACCACGCTTGGCTTCACTGAATTCTTTTGTCGTGTTTATAATTGTTCTTTTGAGTTCTATGTCCATGTTATCTCTAGGAGGATTTCATTGTACTCCTCTAGAGGACTGATGGTAGTACTTGGTATGGATATATTTTTTGGGTTTTTCATGTTATTTCTTCTCTGTGACTTTGACATGTGGATTTCTTTTGCAGATTCTCGTTCTTGTGTGACACTCAAGCCTTCCTTTGTTGAGTTTAGGTCTGCTTCTTTTTGTAAACTTTATGTGCCTTTGTGGTTTACTTGTTGGGCATGAAAAGCTGGTTGGTCTAGGTTCTCTCTTCAGGTTCTCTCTTTTGATTTTATATTGGAGTGGCCAGATTGCTTTCGGCTTGCTGCTCAGGAGTTCACACAGAGGCCCAAGTCAGATGAGGAACAGGTGCTCTCAGGCTTTCCCTTCAGGTCTGGGATCCCTCCAGGAAAGATACTGGTCTCAGGATTTTGAGGGCTGGGCTGGCCTGGGAGCAGGGCCCAGGAAAGATGCTGGTTCCCAGGGATGCAAAGGGAGGTTGGGGAGAGAAGAGGCCTGAGGGCTCCTGAGGTCTTCAAGGAAGAATTGGGTTGGTCTGGATGCAAAGGATCAGGAAGCAGTGGGGATTCTGGGCTAACAGATCAGTCCACAGGTCTGGGGTGTGAAGACAAGAGATGGGCCAGTGCCCCTGCTAGGAGGAGAGATGTGGTGGGGGAGCTGGGAGGGTGAATGAGGCTGGGGGAGTCAAGGGACAGTGGGCACAGCCAAACTTATCCAGGCAAACTGCTGGCTCCAGGAAGCTGTGGGGCTGGGCTGCCCAGAGATGCAAAGGGAGGTGGGGACTAGAGGGAGGAATTGGGTTGGTCTAGATGCAAAGGATTAGGAAGCAGTGGAGAGTTTGGGCCAAGAGATCTGTCCCGAGGTCAGGTGCCAAGACAGGAAATGCGCCAGTCCCCCTGCTAAGAGGAAAGATGGGGTGGGGGAGTTGGGAGGGTGAATGAGGCTGGGGGAGTCAAGGCACAGTGGGTACAGCAGCCAAACTTACCCAGGCAAGCTGCTGGCTCCAGGAAGCTGTCATAGAGAATTATTTTTAATGCTTGTTTATATGAATGAATTGAAAGCCTGTTTTTAAAGAACTTTACTCCATATGGTAAATGTTCACATGAATACAGATAGACAACTGGATGTACCTTTAAGTGCTTAGTATTAAAACTATATAATTAAGCTTAATTTTAAGAGTAATTCTATAAAGGTATATGATTTTATTTTAAAATGTTCTCTTCCCTTCGAGATGTACTTTTTCCTTTATGAAAATCTTCAGTCACAGGTGGGCAGTAAAATGGTGTGTCAAGAAATGGATCCTTATAGTAAACCCTTTTACTTGTTCTAATATATAGATTCTTTTAAAAGAAAGCAACGGCTAAATGTCATATTACATGTCTCAAAACTTCGATGAAAAATACAAATTTTTCCTATGATCAGATGTTAAATGATGGATGAGATTTTAACAACTATAATCTACCATAAGGAACAACATTTAATAATTCAATCAGAAAATCAGGGTATAGCTTTTAAAGTTGTTGGTACTGCTTAAGGCAAATGTGGGGCAACTATTGTCTTAAAGGAAGAGATGCTTACAGAGAGACATGATTAAATTGGACTTTTCTGCATTTAACAGTACCATTGACACTATATGGCTGAATCCTTGACATACAACTAGGATGCTAGTTTTTCAATTTTATCTAACTGTAATTCAAATGTGGTTATATTATAGATTGTGTAACACAGATCTAGATAGCATGAGTGGATATCATCTTTTGTAAAGCAAAACACTGAAATTTGCTATTTAACATATTAGTTACTAGTCTGTATATTTTTGTAATAACCATAAACCAAATAGAAATGTTAGCTTGTACTTAAACTGGGCATATAGTATATACCTGTAATCCCAGCACTTGGGAGGTAGAGGCAGGAGGTTCTGGAGTGTAAGGTTGTCTTCTACCACACAGCAAGTTCAAGGCCAGCCTGGGCCATGTAGTTTGAGACCTTGTCTCCAAACTACAAAAATGAAAATAAGAAATCCCATGCTGAAATGTTTGTAGTGTGTATTCTGCTCCACCTGATTATAGAACTATTTAATGGAGCTGGGTGTGGTGACACACACCTGTAATTACCAAATTCAAGAGGCAGAAGCTGCAGGATCATAAGCTCAAGATCAGCCTAAGCTAGTGAGTCCTAAGATAGCCCAGGTTACACAGGGAAACCCTGTCTGGGGAAAACAAACAAACAAACAAACAAAAACCCACTAATTATTTAGAGAACTAGTAAAAATAAACACAGTGATAAGACACTTGAAGCTCACTAGCCTCAAGCACTGCCATGTTTTAATGATAAAAAAAAGATATGCTCTCAGTTTTGGAAACTTTTACAGCTGTAGATTGTTTTGTGTTCTCCTTAGTTCTTGAGAAAGATTTATTTCACTTAATCCATAAAGTCATCTTGTGAGAGAATCTGTATTTTACAGATTAAAACAATGTGAGAGCATTGAAAGTACTTGGTTATAAACTTTTTCTTTGGTTGTGGGGAAGATGGGGGATAAAGAGAATTAAGAAAAAGAACAGTCTGATAAATGGCAGGGACTAAAAGAGAAGCAGCAGAAAACAGAAAATGGCTTCACAGTGAATTTTCCAAGGGCAGCAGGGAAAAATAGTTTCATGGAGAATTTTTGTTTCATGAGTAAATCATGTCATTTAATAAATCTAAAGTTCTTTATTCTGCACTCTGTCTTATATAGATCTTTCATTGTATGTGGTAAAGTAAAATTGGAACAAATAACTTTTAGACCAAAAAGCCAATAATGAAATGGTAACATTTACCAGTAGACTCAACTACATGGATTCTGATTTGATTTTTTTTATATCATTGGCTATGGAATACTTTGTTAGGCAGAAACTGAATTACAGAGAGCTACGATTGATGCTACCCGAACAAGTCGACATCTGGAAGAAACTATTGACAATTTTGAAAAGCAAAAAATAATGGACATAAAGGTAATTAATATTGAAATGTTTTATAACCTTATTTAAATTTATGAAAAATAAATATGCTGATTTTTAACCCATAGTCAAGTTTAAAAAAATTAATAGACCAAAATATATGTTATTTTCTTATGAATACAATGGTGTTTTAAAGGGGCTAGATGCCCAGAGACCATAGCTTTCATCACAAGTACTATTCAGTCTACAAGAACATGTATTTATGTAACAGCATTCCAGGCATTTCGTAGAAACTATTTCCATTTTCACAGCAACTGGACTATGAGGTAGTAGTATTAAGAATGAACCAGGGATGCTGGGTGTGGTGGCACCCACCTTTAATCCCAGCACTTGGGAGACAGAGGCAGGAGGATCTCTGTGAGTTCCAGTGAGTTCAGGCCAGCTGGGGCTACAGAGAGACTCTGTATCCAAAAAAAAACAGAAAAAAAAAGAAAAAAAAAAAAAAAAAAAAAAAAAACTTTGAAAAAAAAAAAGGG